CAGCCAGCGATGGAGGCGAGCACCACCAGCAACAGAGGCGGTGGCGACGGCTGCGGCCGCTTGGTTTCGGTCTCGTCCTTGCAGCGGCTGTGAAGAGCGCAGTGGAGCTAAACGTGACCGGACGTGGTTCACGGAGCCCAGGCCGGAGGCAGTAGCTCCCACCTGGTAAGTTCAGACCGAAGAATGGGGGTGGGCGGGCGGTGAGGGTCTGACAGGCCCCGGGGACGCGGTGCGGTGCGGTGCGGATTCAGCCCCTCGCTGTAGTAGTTTCCACGCCCCCACAAGCTGCTTCGGTGGTGTGCCCCTCTTATCCCGAAATGGGAAGAAGGTGCCCTGACCCTTAATCTACTGCCTAAAGGCATGCCCTTCTTCCGCCGAGAGGGACTCGAAGGTTTACCGGGTCAGACTCACCTCCTGAGAATGAAGGAAGTGAGGCCTCTCCTGGATGCTCAGACCCTTTCCCGTTAGGAAGTCTGCCTGGGAGAGCCTTTCGATTCTTGTAAGAGAAGTCCTCACCTTGGTGGCTGCATGCCTTTTTGCTTCCACCTGTCATCCCGCTCCTCAAACAGTTGAACCACCCACCCAGTTTTTGTTATGACCAGTTTGACAGTCATGTAATGTAAAGTAGACCATCAACACATGGAAATATGTGATTATTTTTATAAAATCTCCAGTGTTCTCAGAGGCTAAATATCGGTGAAAATGGCGCTTTCATGTTTTTACCGTCTGTAAAACAAGGGTGGGAGAAAGATGTTAAAACTTTTGCCCGGGGCAGCTTGCTGCTAAGCTTGAGTTCCAACCCTGAGACCCACGTGTTGCAAGGAGAGAACCAATTACCGGAAGTTGTATCCTCACATATACACAATTTAATCTTGTTTTGTGTTTTGTATTTTTGTTGTTGTTCATTCAAATACTCCAGTTTAGAGGTTTGTGAGTCTGCAATGCAGCTCAAACCTAAGAGTGCTTGCTGAACATGTAACCGGATTTCATAACCAGAACCAGCAAAGAAAAAAAAAAAATAGGACAGTGGGTGCAGCTCAATGTAGACTTATGGTAACTAAATGGCTTCAAAAACACCCTACGGTCTGCTCCAGACAATATTCTCAATATCCAGACTTTTTGATTTGTTTTGTATTTTGAGAAAATGTTTCTCTGTGTATCCACTGGTTGTCCAGGAACTTGTTTTGTAGACCATGCTCACCTCAAACTCAGAGATCCACTTACCTCTGCCTCCCCAAGTTCAGGAACTAAACTCTGTTCCAGTATTTTCATTTTTAAAAAACATTTTAAAGAAGTGAAATGTTTCTGCCATGAATTTTTGCTTGGAATTCCAACATTAAAAACCAGGAGCTACAGTGAAGCTTAATTTAGGTGGGCCAGTATCCTATCTCTAACGACTTCTAAAAACATAGTTTGAGCCGGGGGTTGGCGGAGCACGCCTTCAATCCCAGCACTTGGGAGGCAGAGGCAGGCGGATCTCTGGGAGTTCGAGGCCAGCCTGGTCTCCAGAGTGAGTGCAGGATAGGCTCCAAAGCTGTACAGAGAAACCCTGTCTCAAAAAAAAAAAAAAAAATAGTTTGAAAACCACTGAGTCAAAGTTGTCAGCCTTAAGATTCTTAAAAGCCAAAACCAGAATAGTCATATGAAGAGATGATTAAAACTTCTAGTAGCATCCTGATGGCTTGCTTATAAGGACAATTCTGGAAAGAATTGGTGTGCCTATTAGCGTGCCTGGGTCTTTTTTTTTTTTTTTTTTTTTTTTTTTTTTTTTTTTTTTTTTAAGCAGGGTCTCCCTGTACAAACTGGCTTTGACCTCGGCAGCACTTCTTTCTACCTCCCAAGTGCTGGGATTGCACACTTGAGCCACCACAGTTTAAATCATTTTCCTTAAAGGGAGAGATCATCTGGTGATCATCTTGGCCAACTGAGCAGTGCAACAGATTGATGAATTTTAATTTCTCTTATAGAAAGTACAGAAGTACAGATATAAAAAAAAAAAATTTAATAGCTAGGCTTGGAGCCGGGCGGTGGTGGTGCACACCTTTAATCCCAGCATTCGGGAGGCAGAGGCAGGTGGATCTCTGTGAGTTCAAGACCAGCCTGGTCTACAAGAGCTAGTTCCAGGACAGCCTCCAAAGCCACAAAGAAACCCTGTCTCGGAAAAAAAAAATAGCTAGGCTTGGTGGTGGCACACACCTTTAGTCCCAGCACTTGGGTGGCAGAGGCTGGTGATTCTCTTGAGTTTGAGGTAGTTTGAGGTTAGCCAGGGCTACATAGTGAAACCCTGTCTCAGAAAAATGAAAATGTAGGCAGAGTTTTCCTTTCCTGACTGCCTGCTCCCAAATAACCAGCAGCCTCTTCCCAAATAACGGTCTCATAGAATATAAATTATAAATGGCTCAGCCAGTAGCTCAGGCTTGTTACTAACTAGCTCCTACAACTTAACCCATTTCTATTAACCTATATGCTGCCCTGAGGCTCATGGCTTTTACCTCTATCCATTTTTCCCATTTTGTGTGCCTGACTCATTTGTCTGGCTGGCGACTCCTCTGACTCTGCCCTTCATCATCACATTCTCAGTTTGGCTTTCCCCTGTTCTTCTATTGGCCAGTCAGCTTGCTTATTAAACCAGTCATAGCAACATATATTCACACGATATACAGAAGTATTATTGTACAACAGAAAAGAAAGAAAAGTGAATGCAAAGCAGTTCTGAGTTCTTTCCTAAAAAGTACTTGGGAGATTATTGCAGTTAAAAGTAGTAAAGCAGTGGGTGTGGTGGTGTATGCCCTTTGATCTTAGCACTAGTGTTCACTTAAGTTTAGTGATATACTCTTATTAGCATGCAGTTTTTATTAGTGGGTATTTCCCTATTTCCTTCTATCGTGCACTTAGTATTTTCCTTAATACTTTATTTGTGAAACTACCCTTAAATAATAACAGTCCTCTTTTGTTTCCTTTTAATTTTGTGGTTGGATTTTGTGTGGGGGTGTTTTGCATACATGTATGTCTATGCACCCACCACCTGTGTGCCTGGTACTTGAGGAGGCCAGAAGAGAGCATCAGACACCCTGTTAGAAACAGTTGTAAGCCACCATGTGGGTTCTAGCCATCAAATCCAGAGGCTCATCAAGAACAAGTGCTCTTATCTGATAAACCATCTATCTATCCCCATTTTGGTTCCTTTTTACATACTTTGAAGGTATGTAGTTTTTTGTTTTTGTTTTTTCGAGTCAGAGTTTCTCTGCAAGTTAAGAGAACTATTTAAAGTATGCACATATCCTAAACACCAAATTGGGCTGCTGGTTCCAAGAAACGTGAAACAACACTATTAAGTGTTTTGTGCTAAACAGTGCCTACTTCAGCGATATTAGGGCTGAGGAGAGCTACCTAAGTGGAACTTTATTCCTGGGTTCCATTTCTAAGAAAAGCATGGTACTATGAACCCAAACTGCATTTACTATACAGAGCTCAAACACTTATCCAGTGTGGCCTCTGAGGCATTAAAACAAATGGTGATTTGTTTGTGGTGGAATTTTGAAGTATAATGCTCATGGTGGGTTTTTTGTTTTGTTTGTTTTTACGATATCTTTGTAAATTTTTTAGTCTGCTTTTACATTGTAAAATATTAAGGAAATGTGTTATATAGCACAAACATATTCAGCACATTTTCCTGAAAAGCAGTGTATCTTTTAATTTTGTATATTTACTTATAAGATCTTGACTTTGGAGACTATTTTGTTCTCCCCACCCCCTTTTTTTTTTTTCATTAAATGACATTTTCCTTTTATTGAAAATAGATACCTCACACATACACACACACACATACATAATATATCCTGATTGTAGTTTCTCCTCCCTCTGCTCCTGCTCCTTCCAGTTCCTACTGGATCCACTCCCAAGTGATAATAATAACAAAATAGAATATAATATATTATCTCTTGTGCCGAGAGAAGGCACAAGAAACAGAGACCCACACGTTCACTTCCCACACTCTGGAACCCCATAAAAACACTGAACTGAAAGCCATAATATATTCAAAGGACCTGGTGAAGACCCATGAAGGTCCTGCATGCTGCCTCTAGAGAATTATTTAAATAAAGGTGCATGCCTTTAATCCTAACAGTCAGGAGGTGGATCTCTGTGAGTTCAAGGCCAGCCTGGTCTACAGAGAAAGTTCCAGGACAGGCAGGACTGTTATACAGAGAAACCCTGTCTCAAAACATCCCCAACCCTACAAAGTAAATGCTATGAAGAGGATATCAGAAAATAGTAGTAACTTGAGAGATTAGAATCCACTGAAAAAATTAATGAAAGTAATTGAAGGGAGAGAGAATAATGTATCAATTCTGAGGACAAAGACATCCAAATATAGCTTCAAACAGTTAAAATCAAAAAGATTTTAACTGTAAAGAAGTCTTATGACAGATATTCCATAAGATAATACATCTCTTAGTTGACCATGTTGGATTTAAAGTAGCCCACAGCAAGCAATAGTTTCCACAA